CCTGGAGAAGGGCGGCATACAAATAAACCAAATACTAATACTAATACTAACAGTCCTTCAAATAGCCAAAGACTGGCATTGTATCACCCCAGCCCTTCTTGTTAGACTAGACCAGAATTTCTCAACCTCAGCCCCTTTAAGACATGTGGACTTCAACTCCCAGAATTCCCCAGCCAGCAAAGCAGAATTCTGGGAGTTGAAGTCCACCTGTCTTAAAGGGGTCGAGATTGAGAAACACTTGTCTAGACATACCCAATTCCTGTAACTGTTCTTCATATGTTTTAGCCTCCAGGCTCCTAATCATGATTGTTGCATTTCTCCGCACTCTTTCTAGAGTCTCAACATCTTTTTGCATTGTGGTGACTAGAATTGGATGTAGTATTCAAAGTGTAGTCTCACCAAGGCAGTATATACAGTACGAATACTTCACGTGACCTTGATGCCATTCCTCTATTCATGCAGACTAGGATTGCATTGGCCTATTTGGCAGCTGAAGCACACTGCTGGTTCATACTTAAGTGACTGTCCATTATGACTCCCTCTCACAGCTACTGCTGTTGAGCCAGGCATCATCTGCTCTATACCTGTGCATTTGATTTTTCTTGCCTGTGTAAAACTTTACTTTTCTCACTACTGAACTGCATTCTCTGAAATTCTATGTTCTCTTCTCTTTATACATTGGCCTACTTCCACTCGTAGTTCTCACTTCACTTGGTATCTACCCTTCTGTTTCTATGCACTTGTATGCTGGATGAAAGAGTTGATAGGTTTTAACCACTTCTAAATCTACACTCTTCTGATTCCTTGCTTCTTGCAATTGTTTCCTTCCTAATACACAGTAATATAATTCTAAACAATATTATAATGTATAAACATCAGAAACCAGATAATTGTGTTTCCTCTTTCTCCTTTCCTCTTTTCATTCTTTAAGTTACCGTCATGTCACTTCTTTCCGAGTTTTTGCCATTTTATCTACTATTTGCTCATTTTTCTGGCTTACCAGAATTGGGTAACAAGGCTAAAAAAGATGTATAACCTTTAAAGAGTAAAAAAAAATCCAAATTTAACTGTCATTGATGTCTGGGATTTTAGAAGTTATACAGACAAGCTTCTGCCATGTAACACCCCAGACTTAGCAACTATTGATATGACAGATTTTAAAAATTTGGATAGTGGAATTTGTAGTACTTGGAGACAGCAGAAGAGAAGAGAAAGAACTGGCGAAAATAACAAAATACGAAGATATGCAGATAGACATAGAAATCATGTGGCAAAAGAAAGATACAGGCTATGAAGTCAAAGAATTACACAATTTGAAGGGTATAGACATCTGTGTCAAATGATTAGTGAATGCCTTTTTCACACTATTTAGATGGTTTTGACTATCTAAAAATGATAATGTGTTCTCTTGACACATGACTGTCTACTTTGTCTTTTAAAGTGGAGACACCCTGGAGGGATGGACAGATTGAATACCCTTATAGCAAAAGAATAAAATGAGCCACCCACATAATTTGCCAATCTTTTCCTATTGTCTGCTATCCCTTCTGTGTTCTTCATGTTACTCTTCTCTAAAACGGTTTGGTCTTTTTAATTAATTAATTATTTTTTCAATATGTTTGGTTTCTGCTCGAGACCTAACGTGATAGATCATATGAAAGATCAGCTTTTGCAAGGCAACTGTGTCAGTCACAATAATTATTCAGAGGTTACTCAAATCTGTAGTGATGTTGTTTTCTTTGTGACTTTTCTATCACTTTAGCAATAACAGGAATGCTATGAAGTAGATCATGCCATGATACTATCACTGCTGAAGTACAAAGTGAAAATAATACATGAAATGTGTCAGGGATTCTCAAACTGTGGGATGGGAGGGAATGTCTGAGAAGATCAACCAAATTTTGGAGGTGCGACAACGACAACTAACTGCTAGAGCCAGGCTAATTCACCTTTCTTCAGCTATTGGCTAAGTGCCCTTGTCTCCACCCATGAAGACAATGTTGGGTCTTGTCATTAGATGCAGCTTCTGTTTTATTTTTCCTCCTTGTCTGAGTTAAGATAAAAATAGCATCAGGAACTTGCCAAGGAAAGGACAATACGCAACTGTGCTGACCTCAATCTGAAGATGAAACTATGTAGGCTTCTATTTTGTGCTCAGGTTACAACATCTATGTTACCTTTCCTGCACATCATCTTTACTGCTTGGATGGGAGAACGCTAGCTTTGTTAGCAGGAATTAATGGCTCAAGGATAGAATAGAATTTAAAAACAAATATAGATTTCTAAATGAACAAGTTGCACACTCCTATGTTTGTTCTGGGTTTCTTTGTTACAATAATTTCTCTACTATCCAAGAAATTTCTAAAAAGTAAGGTAATGGTGAGAGTAATAAATGATAAACTCTTTTAAGAACCAGGGGGTAGGGGGGAAAGAATGTGGAATGATGCTGAAAACTTTTCCTGCCCCTTCAAATGCAGATTAGAGTCCTCATAGTCCTCAACATACGACCACAATTCAGTCCAAAACAACAGTTGCTAAACAATATAGTTGTTAAGTGAGTTTTGCTTCATTTTATGATCCTGATGGTTGTAAGTTGAGGGCTACCATGTATCATGAATATGGATTTTTTTCCATCAACTCCAACATATCATCCCTAATTATTTACCAATTATTTTAATAGCATTATTATCATTGTTCTTTGCATACATTTTAATGTGCATCTTATGAATATATATATATTTCTATGTCTGAGTAAACACTTTTGCCCATCCATGCTGGATTATTCTTGATTTGGTGCCAATTTGACACATTAGCATCCCTGATTGACAGCCAAGCTGGTTTTCTTCCAGCTCTGTTCTCAAGCAGCAAAAATTTTCATTTTCTCATTTGAACTACATGAACTTCACCAAAGCAGCAGATGGGATGCTGGAAACCTCACCTTTTTTTTTTTTTTTTTTTAGTTTGGGTTCTGCAAATGTATCGCCTGTTTAATATTAGTGGGTAAATAGAAATCTCCAGGACTGGACTACAGTGGAAACTCTATGCTGGTAATTTATGAAGGTGAACAGAGCAACAAATCGTTTTCATTAATGGAAACAAACTGTTTCCATAGTTTTGTTCCATCTATTTTTCCACTGGGGTAGGAAATTTTACATTTACCAGTGTCATGCAGTTGGTGGCTTTGAACGTAGCACTAGTATATCAGCCAATTTTATTTGGGGAAGGGTGGTATCACATAAATCCATTCATTATTAGAGGAGCACAAAGTTTGCAACCCAGTGAATTATGTGATTTTGCCTAGCATCAAAACATCAACACATTACTGCACTAATGTCATCTTGGACCTAGAACAGACAGATTTGGTAAGTAATAACATCTCTATATAAATAGAGCTCCAAATGCCTCTACAAAAGATATGTCTCTCGCTGTTTTCGCATTGCAAATGAGAAATATCTTAATCCAAATGATAATTATTTACTACTGAATTCTCCAATGGGAAATTGCTTTATTCAATTAGACATTACAAAACAAAAAGAAAACTCTGATACCCAGTACTAATTCCCAAAATAGTATTTTGAATAATTTAAAAACCAACATTTCCCCCTAAGCAAGATAGGGATCTTTGCAACTAAAACTATTTTTTAAGCTCTTGAATACACCAGTTCCCATGGTAACTTAAGATGAACAGATTGTTCCTGGATGAAAAAAAAAATATGTTAAACATTTTTAACATTCTAAGACAAGGAGTATTTTGCACATTCCTATAGTATATTTTTATCTATACTGTCATAAATAAATGTCCCAATATCTGCTTTCTACCTGACATGGTGATCTGTTTATCAATATTTACATAGTAAAAAACTTAAATACGTCAGTTTTGAAATCTAGAGATCTTTCTCTACATGACTAGTTCATATAAACTCCGGTTCCACCACAAAACCGCGAAGCCCTTATCTGTGCCGACATAAGTGCGGAGGCAAATCCGCGCCGTCCGAAGCGCTAAGAAAAACTCGACCCTACCGCGATGACATAANCTAGGATCGAACTCACAGCCTCCTGATTGTGAGGCAAGAGCTCTACCTCTAGGCCACCGCACCACTCCCTTTATCCTATAATTTTTTATGAGATTAGCAAACTTGATTAACACTTTAGAAACACTGCTACCTCTCTGAACAAGAAGTTATCAATTACCCTTACAAAGAAAATCATTGGAGAAGATGATATATACTCTTTTTCTGAGGGCACAATGGTATTCATGAGACTCTGGAGTCAGCTGCATGCTGTTTCACATATATGAGGCTGTGAACATTTGAAATTAATTCACATGAGTACTGCTCTTTGATACCAATTAAACAAGCCATCTTTTTCCATTGTCTTTCAGAGCAGCATTATAAATTTACTCCTTAAAACAGCAGCATTTTTTTCCAGGTTCAAATTAAAGTCTGTAAAAAGGATGCTGCTACTTTAATGAGCAGCAAGAAGGTATTTTGCTAGTGCAAAGTCCAAAATGCTGTGAAAATAAAGCATGCATGACCCCAACACATAAATTAACAGGATTATTTAAATATATATTAAAATAATTTTATACTAAAATGATAAAAACTCACCTGCATTTTCAGGCCTGCAAACACACGATTGTTCATATGCCTGTTATATTATAAATTGATATGGGAAAAATTAGCTTATATATTTTCATTACTAAATCTAATAATATGAAAAGAGATTTGTCCATAATTCTAATTCCGTAAATATAGGATTTTTTTTCTTTATTGGTTTTTTTTTCACCAACCATTTAGCACACCTTATCATCAAATTAATTTGGGGCATAGTCATATTTTCAGTACTGAGTGTACAGTATGTTTCATGTTTGAAATTTCAGCATTCCTTTTTCAATGCACCTGACTTTTGACCTGAGGAGCCAATATACACAATGTTAAGGTTTTCAGATACAGGAAATACTATTTTCTAGATAAGTTGGGATACGAGGAATAATAAAGCATTCACTGTAGCTGAAAATTGTAAAATTTTCTGAATAGGGATTGATTTACATAAACATGAGCAGGTGAGAACCTATACCATTCAGGACAAAGTGCTGTCCAATCTCTTCTTAAAAACCTCCAGTACGTAGCACTCACAATTTCTGGAGGCAAGCTATTTCACTGACTAATTGTTCTCCCTGTCAGGAAATTTCTTCTTAGTTCTAAGTTGGACCTCTCTTTGATAAGTTTTCATCTATTACTTCTGGTTTCAGATGCTTTGGAGGATAAACTGTCCTCTTCTTTGTAACAAACCGTCAAAACCTGGCTGTGCCGGCAGGCCTGGGGTTGATGAGTTCCCCTCCCCTCTCGACTGGTATGGCTGTGTGATTT